GTTGAATCGAAAACAACGCATGCCTGATCGTATGATTTTACGCACCTGGTTTCGACCGTCGAGAAACCAAAATTTGCGTCTAATCGTATACAAAGTCGTTTGTATGCCGGCGTGGTAGTATTTTTCATGAGTTTCCCTTATAATTAAATCCGTTAAGAAATAATGACTTGGTAGTAAAATTGGGTGCCTTTGCGAAAAGGCTAACTTTGATAGTCTGAGGCGTCCGCCAACGCAAATCAACCCATTTTCGTCGAGAAACGGATTTAGCGCGGCAATATTGCCTTTCTTTACCGGGCGCCCATTCGCAAGTTCATTCAATTCGCGTGAAAAACAAGATTCTTGAATGATTTTTATAATTCTCGTTTCCGCTTCATTTATTTCCGTTATGCCTAGCTGTCCGCGGTAAGTATTCTTTGGTCGAAAACGTAGGCATAATGCTGTAATTTTTAATAATCGTGAATATGACGAATATTTCTTAAGGAAGCTACAATCGTTAGAAACCGTCGCTATACATATATTTTTTCGTAATTCGGGTAATTCCTTTAATTCTATGATACCGTTAGGCCGTTCGCCTTCCTCTTTCGTTAGCCACAATGGTCCGGTAAACCATGATTGGTTATTCAGGAAAGCCTGCGGTAACTGACCCCGTGATAGCGCGTCGGCCGGGTTATCCTCTGATCGAATATGTCGCCAAGCTTGTAAGTCCGTAATTTCTTGAATTTGAACAACGCGGTGAGACACGTACGTTTTTAATAGATGAGAATAGTATTCACCGCATCGGGGGTTAAATCGTTAATGACACGTTCGTCGTTCGACGCCCATTGTCGGATATTAAAACCGCCTCGAGAAAGTACCGTGATTATGTCATCCCGTAACTCGCGAGCCTCGCCAACGGTATTCGTACCTGTAACTAAGTCATCCACGTATAAGTGCGTTTTGAGAACTCGGGCGGCGTCAGGATACGCGTCGTGCTCATCATCGGCTAGCTTTTTAATTGTTCGTATAGCCAGATACGGCGACGAGGATACGCCGAATGTAAGGGTGTTAAGTTGTAAAGTTTTTATTTGATCGTTCTGGCGCCAGAGGATTCGTTGGTATATCTGATCATCCTCGTGCAACAATATCTGCCTATACATTTTTTCTATATCTGCTGTGAGAACACATTTATACGTACGGAATCGAATTAAGTGAACGAATAACGTATCTTGAATAGTCGGCCCCACCATTAACCTGTCGTTTAACGATGTGCCATTGCTCGTTTTGCCGATGCATCGAACACGACACGAACCCGGGTCGTGCTGCTTGATGATTTGATTGCCGCATGGTGCGGCATATAAAATCCTTCATTGGAAGGGTTATTCACCGGAATTATCTGTTTCAGATCTAAATATTCCTGTATTACTTGCGAATAGGCGGCCCTTAACAATGGATCTGAGTCGAGCTTCCGTTCGAGCGAATTTAAACGTTTGAGCGCGACGGTTCGCGAATCGCCGAGGCTCATCTTATCCTTGCGAAATGGTAGTCTCACTGTATATCGACCGTCGCGGTTACGAGTAACAAATTTAATGAAGTGCTCTTCGCATTCGATTTCCTCGTTAGATTTCGGCGTATCGGTGGGATCAGATATCTCCTCAATCACCCAGAATCTCGCGATCTGTTGATCTAGACCAGTCAATTTACATATCGCAGTTTTCGGCTGATTCCGCGACGAGCTTCCGCCCGCAACGACCCGGCCGAGACAAGTATTTTGTAGATATAAATCGTTATCTCGTATCGATAAATTGATCTGGCCTATGGAGAATAACGACAATGTCACCTCCGCACCAATCCGCAAATCAACAGGACGCGGCAAATGAAACTCTGGATCAGCTAATTTTATATTGGACGGTATTGTGATGGAATCTCACGGGAAAGTTTCCGACGGAACTAAGTCTGATATTATGGGGATTGTCAAACATAATTGTTCATTCAAGATTAGACGAAGGCGAGGACTCGGCCTCGATGTCTCTTATCGGAGAGCGCGGTCTCCGATGCGCACGAGCGCGTGAACGTACGAACGCGAGGACTCGGCCTCGGTCTCTAGCGGAAAGCTCGGTTTCCGGTGCGAATGCCCAAACGCGAGGACTCAGCCTCGATGTATCCTTGCGGAACTCACTGTGTCGCGATTGAATAGTAATTCGAATGACACCTTTCGAAGTCGTGTTCATTGAATTGATTGCACCGACTGGCAATGCGCGTGTTGTTATAGGGAGCCTCAGACGTCTCGCGAGACCCTCGGAAATGAAATTGGCGGTAGCACATGTATCCAACAAGGCGCGACACTTCATTGACTTGAGTTCACGATCCCGAATAAATATCGTCGCGGTGGTCATCAATTGTGGTGTGAAAATGGGCGTGATCGCTGCGAGACACGTCGCTGCCTGGCCACCCCCCTTTATACGTTATTTGCCTTGTACCCCCTTGACGTCCGTCGCGTCCGTTGTCGTGGATGCGACTTGGGTTTTCTCAAGATGTAAAAGCGTATTATGTCGCCCTTGGCAAATGCTACAGTGCGAATAATTGCAAAGTTTACCACGATGTGAACGTAAGCAGTTATAACAAAGCATCGCGTTTTTCACGCATTCGATGCGCTTCGGCACAGATAATTGCTTGAAATTGTTACACTTAAATAACGAATGTTGCTTATTTTTACACACTGGGCAATTATTCGCGATGTTAACCACAAATGCCTTATTGGATGTCCGCGCCTTTTTCCCGGGAGGTGTCGATCTGTCCTCGGCTTGTTTGGTCGTTCCTGCATGAACACGCTTAGATATACGAACTGCGGTTCTATATAAAAATTCGTATAGATCGTCGATCTTCGGAAATTCGTCCCGATCCAGAGATTCCTCCCATTTTTCCGCTACGATCTTAGGTAATTTGCTTTCTAGTACGTTTACAAGTATCTCGGACCCCACGTTAACTCCTAACGCGGCTAACGATGCTACATGTTGCTGCGCGTCGCCGGCAAGCTTGGACAAGCCGTCGGTTGTCTCCTTTTCTAAAACGGGTGCGTTCAAGAGCAACGAAAGGTGGCGTGAAATTAATATTCGCTTTACTTCGTACGAGCGTTTCAACAGTTCCCATGCCTTTTGATAATTTGAGCCTTCGATCGATAGAATCTTTAATTTATTAGCTGCCTCGCCCGTTAACGCCGATTTCAAATATTGCAATTTTTCTACCTCGCTCAAATCTGTTTGTGAATCGATCATCGCGATAAAAGTATTTTTGAAGGACAGCCAATTCTCGTATTGGCCGTCGAATTTCGGTAGAGATGCTTCCGGCAATTTTACTCGCCGTTTTACGATCGCCGTGGTCTCAGAACCGCTGGGTTGCGACGCGCTACTAATGACACCGGTACTCGCGGTCGACACGGTGGAACTTACTATTTCTTCCACTTTACTTGCGAGTGAATAAAATCTTTCCTGTACGTTAGTGAATTCGTCTTTATGAGTGTCGTTCGGATCTAATAGTACGAGCTCGTCGTTAAATTCTTCGTACGCGTGATACAAGTCGGATATGCGGGCCATCCTTAATCTTAACGCGGCCTTATCGTAACTGCCTCTCTCAACCAGATTCGTTAAACCCGTAATTTGAGATTTTAACGACGTTCGCTTTTGAATTAATAACTTAATTCGACCTGCCATATTGTCGTTTGGGAATAGGTAACGGAAATTGCTTAATCGGCCACTTGACTTATATTTGGAATGGACTTGCCCTTAGCCTTGATCTCGTTGCGTACTCGTCCTGAGGGTTGTGTGATTGGTTGCAAGAGCCAATGTCGTAGTCCTGAAGTCGTGATCGCCTTGATCGTCCTTCCTTCTTAGCCGCTGTTCGCTCGACAATCAGTATGTTCTTACGGTGGTCGTTCACGTTCGTACTGTGAACGACCTCACAGGAGGCACCAAAATGTTGTGTGTGTGGGAGTTTAGGTCCATACACTAGTTTCGTTTGTTTTATATAGTTTATTCGAAATTATTACATGAACGCGAGGACTCGGTCTCGATATCTCTTACCAGAGAGCTCGGTCTCTGGTATGCACGAAATCACGAACGCGAGGACTCGGCCTCGATATCTCTTACCAGAGAGCTCGGTCTCTGGTATGCACAAAATCACGAACGCGAGGACTCGGCCTCGATATATCTAGCGACGAACGCGGACAAGGGCTCGATCTGTATTCTACGAGGGACGACTTCGAAGTGTCCTGCCGTGACCGTTGGCCCTATATATATATGTCCGCAGTTCTTTGTGACGACTGGCCGTCGCGGCTTCGAACGTTCTAGAACAAGCGCTTATCAGATGCACCTTTGGGTCGATGACTCGAACCTCATCGGACGATGCGTTACTGGTGACTCAAGCATTCCTCTATTCTTTCCCTATCGGGAGATTAGAGCGCTCGACTAAAGGTCCGAAGGGCGCTTGGTTTTTTCTAGAAGCCTCGCTCGGCAAGGCTTCGTAGTGGGCCCACTATATTTACGTCGCAACAGTATGAGATCACGTGCTGCGCGCGTGCTACGTGCCGCGTCTCGCCGGTGCTATCTATCGGATGGGCGATCATTAATGCTTCGCGAATAGTGACGTTTGACGAAAAATAATTCATCCGACGTAACAACGGATATCTTTTAACGAATATTTTCTGATCGGAACTTTCTTAACGGATATTTTCTAATCGGAATCTCCTCAGCGGATATTTCGGTAATTATGCATAAAAGCGACTTCCTCTCCGATTTGTTTTATTTTTAAATATGTTGTTGGGGATGTCTTCCCGAGTCATTTCATATACAGGGTGTCTGATGCAAAAGTAGCCACTTTGCAAATAGCGGTAGATTGGGTTAAACTAAGGAGAAATATCATGTACCGAGGTACACTGGGGAGCAATGATTCGCTGGGTCATAGTAGTAGTTCTAATTTATCGACA